GGCGCGCCCGCCCGCTGCGCCCCGCCTCCGGCCCTGCGCCCGCCGCGGCTCCCGGCTCAGTCCCGGCGCGGACCCGCCGCCTCGCGGCCCCCGCGCTCAGCCTCCCCGGCGCCCCGACAAGTGGGGATCCGCACGGAAAGTCGGCGGCGGAGCGGCGGACTGGGCATGCTCAGAAGCCAGGGCTGGCTGGCTCTGGGCTCGAGTAGGAAGCGTCTGCACTCGGGAGGCGGCGGCGACTTTGGGGAAAGTTGACCGGAGCGGGGAGCGAGCCCCCGGGCGCGCGGCAGCGGCAGGAAGGCGGCCCGGCGGCCCGGCGGAGCATGGGCACCCTGCGGGATTTGCAGTACGCGCTCCAGGAGAAGATCGAGGAGCTGAGGCAGCGGGATGCGCTCATCGACGAGCTGGAGCTGGAGTTGGACCAGAAGGACGAACTGATCCAGAAGCTGCAGAACGAGCTGGACAAGTACCGCTCGGTGATCCGGCCGGCCACCCAGCAGGCGCAGAAGCAGAGCGCCGGCACGCTGCAGGGCGAGCCGCGCACCAAGCGCCAGGCGATCTCCGCCGAGCCCACCGCCTTCGACCTGCAGGACCTCAGCCACGTGACCCTGCCCTTCTACCCCAAGAGCCCACAGTAAGCAGGGGAGCCGCGGGTCTCGGTCTTGGGTGTGGGCCCCCGCCCCGCGCGTGCCATGTCTGTGCTCGGGCTCCGAGGCGTTGCAGCCGTTGTGGCGGGCGCTCCGCGCGCGCCCTGCACGCTCCTCCGAGCCGCGCTCGCTGCGCCCCCGCCGCCTTGCTGTCTTTGTCAGATGTCGGGCTATTTTTGCAAGATAGACACGCACGTTCGTGTATGCCACCCGGGGTGCATAGTTGGAACGCGCCCCAGGTGTGTGTGTGTGTGTGTGTGTGTGTGTGCGTGTGCGTGAGTGTGAGCGAGCGAGCGAGCGAGCGTGAGAAGACGAATGAAAAGCCCCGTCTCCCAAACACCCCGGGAACCTGAACCTGCCTGGCCGGAAAATCCTAAATGCAGGCTCATCGGACTCGAAATGAAATGCGTCTGTTGTCACGCTTACTTTCTCTGCTCCGGCGGCTCTCCCGGATTTCTCTACCTGCTGGCGACAATCGCCCGCACCCCTCCAACCTGATGTGCTGTCATCGCCAAAGTGTCAAAAATAAGCAAATGCGCATATAAAAGGGAAGATTTTTGTTTGTTTGGGTTTCATCTCCCGAACTGGATGGCACTGACAGCCCGCAAATGGAAGCCGAGTCTGTTGATTTAAAAAAAATTTTTTTTTCTTCATAACACGCGAGGGAGATCGTTGCTTGTTTTCCTTAAGGAATTTGCATGATGTTGCCTGTGAGGTGCCTCGGTCTGCTGGGAGGGCTGCGTGTGTCCAGGGTCCAATGTGAGAACTACACTTACCTTTATCGACACTGTGAGCACAGTGTTTGCCTTACTCCTGGCTTCTGATGCAACCGCTCTGGTAGGGCTCTTGCGTTGGGAGAACTGTGTTCTCATGTCAGTGGGCTTCATAACTTGGGTAGGAAAATTGAACACAACTTGTTATACGCCTTAGGGAGAGCATGGTGGCAGGACCGTGAGATTAACACGCAGCGAGGGAGAATACCCAAACGGATGGTGTTTTTAGTGGATAGATAATGCCATAATCGGTAAAATGAAAGATTTTGCTACTGTATTTCTAACTACATCACACTGGCTGTTTGACACGTGTTACATAATAATGCAAGCTTTCTTGGAACCCTTCGCTTCACAAACACAAGGAATTAATATAAGGAGAAGGGGTAAACGCGGGATTGTCTCCCTTTGTATTTATCGGGTTTAGGGGAGCCATCGGGCATGTACTGATGATACTTCTGAAAACTTAAGAGTTGTACCATCATCTTTTGGTTCCCAGAGAGGTTTTGCTGTTCCTCCCGCAGGTTTAGCTTCAGAGGGAGTTTGCATTCTTGGAGAGTGTTGGAAAGAAACGATGAGGGTAAACACTGCTGAGATTCTGACCTCACCAAGTGGCCCTGGTCAGTAGACTTAGATCTGCCTCGGAAACCTGAGCGATTCACATCTACTTCAACTTCTTCCAGTAAATTGATTTGCAGTCCTGACATGCTCGCCTGTTTTAGCTAACGAGGTACACGGCCATCTCTCCTGGGCCAAGTTTTGCATAATGAAAAAATAACTCAAAGACAGCTCTCTGCATTTTTAGGCATTGCATAGGCTCTCATTTTAGTATCTGCAGGACTTTGGAGTAACACGGAGAAAACTCGACTTTTGTAAAAGGACCATTTTAATGGGTTTTATAATGGAGCATGATCAAGCCAGCTGATAACTCCAGTGGAACATTCGATCAGAGAAGATCTGGAGGAATCCAGGCAGTGGGGAATGAGTTGTAGAATGTGGCAAGTTGTAGAAGCCTCTCAGTGTTTCACATGTAGAACAGCCAGATTTTTTTTTTTTTTTTTTTTGCAAATCCCTGGTGGAAAACGAAATGAGTGTGGTGGCAAATAAGTCACCCCATTCTGTTACAACAAACGTTGTATCTATCGGGCAGCGCTGTGCGTTCTGATATTTATTTAATAACTTGTGCTTTGAAGAAATCAGCTGTTACGGTATCACCAATGATGGTTTTGGTGATTTCTGAGGGATTCTATTGAAGAACACGATGGAATGTCTTCCAAGCTTAAATAATTTTGGAAAAACATCTGTTCTTTTTTCACACTTACATAAAGAAAACTAGAATAAAATTGGCTGAAGGGGCATAGTGTACCTTTCTTGAAAGAGAAGTTATATTGTATGCAAAATGATTATACCTTTGCCATCTGGATGAGGGTGCAAGACAGCTCCACAAAGGATCAGGAAAACCTGGCAACCCCACGAAGACTTGCGTGAATTTCCATTTCTCTGCCGCTGAATAATTTGATCATGCAGACTTACTGGCAACAAGTGTTTGTGTTTCACTTCCGGTGCAACTTAAATGTCGTTACCTTTCTTCAACTCACACACAGAGGATTGTGAGTTCGAGTTGAAAGGAAACCATCTCAGTAGCCTAAAATGGATTTCGGATTCACGTTCATGGGAGCGTTCTGTTCTCTTTTCATCAGATGTAGGTAGCTGCCCAGCTCTGAGGATTATAATTTTTTTAAAAAAACCTTCCCTTTTCCTTGTTGAGTGATTTTCGATCACTTAACAAACAGTGTTGAAATAGTGTGAAACGTAAACTATTAACTTAATTCATTTTAACATTTTTGGTTTGGAATTTTCCCTGAAAGCTGGGAATTGGAGGGAAGGCTGGGTCAGAGCCAGGGAGCTCCTGCTGAACCTGTGTGTGTGTGTGTGTGTGTGTGTGTTGGGGGCATGGGGGTGTTCTCATTTCTCTCTTTCACACCAGCGTAGAAATAGCCCTTAAGCCCTCTGTGTGTTACCAACGTGAAGCAAAGAACCGTTGCAGAAGTTGGCACTATGTTCCACAGCTACGAGAACGTAAAACTCTGAGGCTATACGTTTTGAAATAAATCAATAACCCCTTGAAGATGAAAAAAAAAAAAAAAACCACACCGCATTTTATGAGATAAGATAGTCTGTTGGTTATATACATAGGATGGTTCTTTTGAACTTTCAGAGTAATTTTATTTCATGATCTTCCATTCCTGAAAACTGACTCTCTAATCGGCTGGGACATTGACTAGTATTTGGAGCCCGACTCTTTACCTACTGAAAATACCTTCAAATCCCTTCCATTCTGCGGTCTCAGTCTTCTGCGTTCTCTCAGTTGGGCTGCACAGACTTATGTTCCTGTAAAAACTTGTTAGTGTCTCTGGATTTTTGTTCAGCTGGTGCCTTTCACCCCAGAGGCAGCTGAATTTCAGAGAGTGATGATGTGTTTTATAACATTTCACTCTTGGGTTGTGAAATAGTTTGGAAGAACGGAGGATGAAAAGAAACATATTTTCTTATTTTTAGGGAGGCGTTGCTTTTTTTTTTTTTTTAAGTTTTTAAATGTTTATTTTTGAGAGACAGAGAGAGACAGAGAATGAGCAGGGGAGGGGCAGAGAGAGAGGGAGACACAGAATCCGAAGCAGGCTCCAGGCTCTGAGCTGTCAGCACAGAGCCCCACACGGGGCTCAAACTCATGAACTGTGAGATCATGACCTGAGCCGAAGTCGGACCCTTAACCGACTGAGCCACCCAGGTGTCCCCAGTTTGCTACTTTTATGGGCTGTCTGCTATGCGCAGCTTACCTTGGGCGTTAGGGGTGAGAGAGATGTAGGCCCGCATCTAGGAGGTATTCTAGAAAGTACAGAGCACGTTAAACCACAGAGGAAGTACCTGAAACAGTTGGCAAAGGAGAATTGTGGTCATTTCATTTCATGGTATGGGAAAGTCGTGGAGGCGAGGTGTTTAAAGTGGGTATTTGAAGGGCCGCCCGGCTTAGGCGAGTGGTCAGGGGATGAGAGGGGCACGGTGGGAATGGAAAGGACCATCCGGCGGACAAGACACATGGGGCCGTGACAGCGACAAGGGGCGGTACCAGAATACCTTAGTGGGAACTGCGGAAAGGCAAGCCTAGGCCCCACAGAAGGAGAACTTGAGTTTCTGTTTTGTAAAGTAGGCGAGAGGGCGTTTCTGCTTGTTTTTAGAATGTTCTGGCAGCGACGTGCACGCGTGCGCCCTCCGCCCAGCAAGGGCCGGGTGGTCCCTGCCGGTAAGGCTCTGAGTCCCCGAAAGCCTCCTGGGCCCCGTGCCTCCTGGACCCCCGTTGTCCCGACGATAGCTGTGACTGTCCCAGAGAAGCGGGACTCGGAGGGAGCAGAGCAGCGGCTGGTTCAGACCCGCGAAGAGACGGAACCCAGTCCGAGAGGAACCAGCTTCCCCTCTCCTGTCACTTCAGACCGTTCCCATGGACGGTCGTCTCAAGTCATGCCCTGCACTCCGCAGCACAGATCCCTCCCGTATGGCGGTGGACGGGGGCCCGCGGTGACAGCCCAGCCTGAAGTTGGTTTCGGAAACTCACCTTTCTGGTTTTCGTGGAGGGGCTGACCTCCAACTTCAGGCAGGTCTGCTGGACCGTCCAGCTGCAGGTGGGTCATGAATTCGACGTGACGGGCTGTGCAGTCGCAGCGAAGCGGTGGGAAGCTTTTGCAAACGGGTGAGACCAGGTTCCTAAACCCCCGTGAGGCTGTTCTGAAACACGGTCAAGTTGCGTGCCCCTGAGCTGGGGATTCTAACGAAGGAACGGACAGGCCCTGTCCGAGAACAGAAACGGCCAGCCTCCTTGCTCCCCTGGGCCCCGTTTCCGCCCTCCTGCTACTTAGCCTTTCCCTGAAGAGCTGGGCACACGATGTGTCTGTTGCTGTTGGGACACATTTTCCCCGGGCACAGGGACACATTTTCTCCGGCCTGCTTAGCAGTGGAGGGGGCTCCGTGGTCTCCTAGCAATCGGGTCTGAACACCAGGCTGCTCCCCTTTCTGCCGTCTCTGCCATAGGTACCGCTGCCCATCTGGGGCGCCGGGTCTGTTGCTGGCACTCAGACCCTCCGACTGGAACCTTCCACGCTCGGAGAGCGCAAGGCGGCGTGACAGACAAGCACGCGGCCAACGCAGCCTCTACCAGCACGCGT